TACTAATTTTACTGTTCCTAGTAATCTAGCTATGACTGGAGAAATCTCTTTAAATGGTCAAGTTTGCAAAATTGGTAACTTTTATTATTAATATAAGGTGGTCTCTAATAAAAGCTTATTGCTGCAAAAACACTTGATATTATTGATATCATTTTGCCTTATGCAAATTTAGGAGATGCTTTGAATTTGCCATCATAATTATTAAAGGGTCTAAATTTATATTTTGTCACTGACTACTAATAAATTTATGATTTGATTTTTGATTAATAGATAGGAAACATTAATTATACATTAAATACAATTAAGGATGGAATTTATGAAACAATTTAAAATGGATCAAAGGAGTAAATATAATAATCAATTAATTGTTGAATATGTAACTGAATCATTATTATTATTAAAATTCTTGTAATATTTGTTAGTTTTATTCAATAATCTTTTTCATATAATCGTCATCTATTTCTTAATTAACATCTATCATTTAATACTATTTGTCTATGTCTTCAAAATTATTCTCTTAAGTATAACTATGTATATTATTTTCTTCAGTTCCAATAAACAATGCTTTATCTAAATACGCTATACATTTAAATGTTTCAGGCTTTGTAAATTTAGAAATGACCTTTTTATTTGGATAATCCCAAGTTAAAAGTAATCCATTACCTACACTTACTAGGTATCCAGTCTCTGGAATAACTAATAATTTTTAAATAGGATGATCTAATCCTGAAAAATAAGTAAGTGCTTAATTATTATTAAGATTCCATAATCTTATAGTCTTATCATGAGAACCACTAAATAAAATTTTGCCATCTAAAGCCAAACAAGTTATGCTATCTTAATGACCAACAAATGAATCATCATGTTCATAAGTGAACATATTAATTAAATAAATTGTACATTTATTTCCAGCTGCAATAATTCTTTTTGTTGTTTTATCAAATAAAAGACACAGAATTTCATTGCCTAATGAATCTGCAGTAGATTTAGGATTGGCTAATAATGATTATTTTAATTAAGGCATAATATAACTAGCCATTAATCGTTATTTACGTTCAAAGATCTCCCAAACATTTATTCTACCATCATAACCACTACTAAACATATATTCTTCACTATCAAATGTACAACTTGTTAATGCACAAACAGTATTATTATGCTTAGATTTAGCTTTACTTTAATCAATAATTAAAAATGATCCTATTTCTATATTCCATAATCTGATTTCACCATTGTCATGTCCAGTAGCTACTAGATTTGCATTTGTTAAATAATGCATACTAGAAATTTCATTTTTCTCTCCTGTTTCAATTGTAGATATACAAGACATGTCTTTTGAATCCCAAACTCTTATAGTATTATCTAAAGAGGCTGATACTAATTTCTTTGGTTCAAATTCTTAAGGACAATCTATACCTAATATTTCAATAACTGGTCCTTTGTGTTAATCTAAAAGATTTCCTGCTCTAACACCCCTTTTAATTCTCAAAACATCAATAAATTATTCTGTATATACAACTAATGCTTCCAAATGATCTTTAATAATAATAAGAATATACCTATAAGATCTATTCCTAAGATTTTGCATTCGTATAATTTGAATTCTAATACCTATTTATCACTTGAAATGTTCATAAAATATACTCTGCCTTATTCATCAGATGCTATTAATTCTTAATGAGTTTGACTCCATCTTATTGATGTAAATAGACATTTATGAGGATTCTTATAACTAAAGAATTTACCACCAGATTCACCATAACCTAATATTTTTTAATCAAATGCTATTGAGAATATTGCATTATCTTTTTCAACTTCTATAATTTATATCACATGCAATCGATGGAAAGTAAAAAAGCTTTTTTCTAACTTTACATATGTCTATTATTATTGAAGAGTTGGTTATGAATTCATAAATAAATGCAATGAACCATCAGTATCACCTGCATAAAGTTAAAATTAAGGCATCTTTACTAAAAATGCTGTTATATAGGATTGTTGATTCAAAGATTTCTTCATTGAAAAATCATAAATAATTTAAACAGTTACAAACCATGGGTGATACAGGAACTCTCTTCCACTCTCTTATTTCCAAATTCTTAATACTTTATCATTACTAGCTGAAAATAGACTATCTTAAGCAAATGCTAAGGCCATTATAGATCCAGTGTGACCAAATAAAGTTTATATACATCCTTTCTTAATATCATTTTCCCATAATTTTATAGTACGATCAGCACTACCTGTGAATATATAATAACTGTCAGAAAATTTCTCAATTATTAAACATCTTATTTCTCCTTTGTGATTATTTTTATTCTCTACAGGTTTTAAGATTTCATAATCTTTTGATTACAAGAAATGTTTGGTATCAAATCCTTTTTTTCTAAATTGCATCATTTAACCATTGCTCAAACCAAGTGTTATTGCTTAATCTGAATAATGATAAGCTGTAATTCTTGTTTAAGGATCTTCTTTAAATTTTGATTTCTTCTCATAAAACAAAGGGTCTGTAAACTTTTTGACTCTAATAAATTCCATTTTGTAATGATAATTAATATTATATTTTTGTTATTCATATTTAATATATCATGCAAATAACCCTAACAAATCTCTTGGTGTCACATATTTGAGTTTATCTCCATCCTCAACAAAGACTACTTCATGTCTTTCAACAATTCTCTCTAATTAATTTAGATCAAGAGTATTAGGAACAACAACAAATTCTTTAGAATGTACTTTCTTAGCTAAATCAGCCTATAATATTAATATTATAAATATACATGATTCAATTTCTTATTAACAATTCCAGCCAATATTTTCTTCTAGAAAACAACTGACAATAATTTGCCATTCTCATAGAGTGGAACAGCAGGTTATGTTTTTAAGATTTCCAAACATTATCCAATTGTGGCTGTTGCTACATCTAAGGATTGAATTTCATGTAAATTCAAATCAGTGATTGGTCTTCCAGCTAATGGATGTTCAGGCTCTTTTAATTCATCATAAGGAATGAATTTATTTTCAATCATCCAAGTCTTGCTCAAATGTTTAGTCATATAATTTCTAATATTATCTGGTAAAATGATGACAATCTAAAAATAATAATATCTCTATTATTACTCTTTAATTTTCATTAAAATTTTGTGATTTAGCCCATTACAAAGCTCCCCAAACAGTAGCACCTGATGAACCACCACATAACAATCCTTCTTGAGATAATAGCTTTCTTGCCATTAATAGACTATCATAATCAACTGTTTTAACCCAACCATCAACTTCAGTCTATAAAAATAGTTTATGATTTTACTCTATCCAAAACTTTGGGAATAAAGTCATATCCAATGCCTTCTACTTTATAGGTTTTGATGTCAGTTTTATTAACTTCTTAAGGCAATGCTAAATCAGATCCATAGGGATCCACTGCAATAACTTTACATCCTGGAACTCTTTCATGGATTTTTCTACCAACTCCGGTAATGGTACCACCAGTGCCTGTAGAAATAATAACAGCATCCAATTTATCATCACAAGCCCACAAGATTTCTTCAGCTGTACCTTCATAATGAGCCAAAGGATTGGAAGGATTAGAATATTAATCCAATAATATAATATTAGGATCATCAGCTGCCATTTTCTTTGCCACTTGAATCAATGATTCAGGTTCATACCAAGCAGCTTCTGTTGGTGTTCTAATGACCTTAGCACCTAGACCTGTAAGGACATCTTGTTTTTCTTAAGACATCTTTTCAGGCATGGTAATCACTAATGGATATCCTCTAACAGCACAAGCCAATGCTAATCCTACTCCTGTGTTACCAGAAGTGGCTTCAACAAGGGATTTGCCTGGTCCAAGACGACCTTATTTTTCAGCATCTAAAACCATTCTAACACCAATTCTATCCTTGAGGGATCCACCAACATTTAAAAATTCACACTTAACAAGCACTTCACATGTTAAGCCAAACTCTTTAGGGATTTTATTTAATCGAATCATAGGAGTATGACCTACGGCATCAAGTGCGTCATTGTAGATTTTCTTAAAGGGAACAAATTCTATTTTTGAATGTGGTGTTGGTGGTTATTCATTTGCTCCTCTTTTGTAAGTGCATTAGATCGAGTCTTTTGATAAGTCTTGAATCATTATTTAAAAATGAATTAGTTTTAATCAATTATAGAAGGTTATGAATAAATGGGCAATCAATAGTATTACAAAGATTATAACTCTAATTATAAATATTTTCATGAAGTAGGTCCTTTAGATTCTTCATTCAAATGGAAACCAAAACATATTAAGGTTCTTGATTTAGAATGTGTAATTGGAGAAATCACAATAATTCAAAAATTTTTGATTTTAAAGATATTATGGCCATCTCATTCTATTTCTATGACAAGTATCAAGCTAATTGATTCATCATTATTACTATTTCTGTATGCAATTAGCCATGATTTCTAATCGTACGATTATACTTAATCCTCATAAAAGTATAATAATTAAATGGGTTGGAATCTAGTTAATGAAATTATTAAAGATAGAAATAATACAGGTAATTATATTCGAAAATTTTTAACAATTTTCTATTAACGTAATCTTATAAATATTTATAACATTATCATAATTATTGTTAATTATTTTTTATCATGTACCATTAGAATTTAAGAATTTTGGGTTCATGATTATCAGATTAGTAATATTGTATTTTAAACAAATTCTGAGATATTTTTATTGAATTCTTAAATAAAGGCTAAAATATTAATTTTTTTATCTGATTTCAGAATTCTATGATCACAAATTAACTATTAATTTAAAATATTTATTTCACATATAATATAATGTTTATATATATTTAACATTTATATAGCTTTATTTATTATTATTAATAACCTAATCAAAAAGATCATTATTGTTCATTTGTTAATCAATATGATCTTATATTATAACATTAGAATTTTTGGTTTTAGAGTCTTATAAATTCTTGAAAATTCCTAATATAATTATTATGTCAAATTAAGATATCAATGAGCTTCCACCTCTAAAAGTAAATGTGCCTTCATTCCTTTTAAAAACATATGAAATTCTAGAAGTAATAATTTGATTCTATTTTCAGAATACATCACTCTCTCACATCATTGGTTGGAATCATGAAGGAAATGCCTTCATAGTATTCAATACTAATGAGTTAGCATCTAAAGTACTTGCTAATTACTTTAAGCATAAAAATTACCCAAGCTTTTTGAGGTTATATTGGTTTTTACCATAGATAGCTAAACATGTACAACTTTAAGAAAACAAAAAACTAATATGGATAGAGTGAATTCAAACATAAATGGTTTAGACGAGGTCTCAAGTATGAAATCTTTAATATTCCTTTTAATAGAAGTATGCTCCAGTACATTCGTAGAAGAAATTAAGAAGAATCTGAACAAAAGATGGAAACAAAAGACAACAATTAAGAACTTGACAACTATAAACGAGAGCATGAAGAGATGAGACAATTAGTGAGAGATATTTAAAATAACCAAACATAAATGTAAGCTGACTTTGCAGCTTCTGCTGAATCAAATGCCACTGTCAGTCGTTCAAATAACTCAGTTTTATAAGTAATGAAAATCATAGATAATTTAAGTGTCTAAATCAAATACAATAGCAATTTAATAAAAAATTTGATACAATCTCCATACTTCTAACCAAAATTATTTCAAATCTTCCCCAGATTTGTATATAATTTAATTAATCTTATTATTATAGCTATGTAGATTGGAGATATTCTCAAGAATTCTTATGAAGAACCATCCCCAGGTAGATCAGAGTCTAATTACATTGTACCATATAATGAAAACAATTAATACAATTCATTAGGGTCACCTTATTCACATTATTAATATAATAGTCCAATACATTATTTTTTTTCAAGATAGAATTAATGTAAAAAATAATAAATATATAAAAGATTTCTAAGAATTCTGTTTTTAATTGGATCCTAGTGTTTTTTCATACAATCGTTAACATCAATAATAATAATTAGCATTACCAGCTCCTCATATTAATTCTTATTTACGTAAAATTAAATCTCAAATTTATGATAGCTAGCAATAATTACTCTTTGTAATCAAGTGTGTAGAATTCCCCTTATAGAATAGCTAGTCCATCTCATACATCCACAACAGATTCTAAAGATCCAGAAAAAGTAATATCTTAGTTAAAACTCAATAGTTTAGTCTCTATTAGCCAGCATGAACAATTTAATCATAGTTCTGAATATTTAATATTAATAAATGATGTTTCTTAATATTTAATTATTTAATAATATCCATTTTATACTGAAAAAGCTATTCTCAATTTAAGATTATTCTTAAAAAAATAATTTTTCAAATTATAAATTAATATACAATATAATGATTATGAATATATTAATAAAATTATTAAAAAATACTCTAAATTATTTATAGATTTAATGAGTTTGTAATTTATATAATAAAATATTATATTATATAATAGAATATAGAGTTTTTTAAATAGAGAATATCTTTAAAAAATAGAGATATGTATATATCAAATAAATGATTATATTATTTATTTGTAAAAATTAAATTAAAAATGAATCAAATTTCCCAAAATATCCTTGTTCAAAAACTAGTTGATTATAAGTTAAGGTAAATATGATTATTAGTTAATTTACAGAAAGAACAAAAACAAGAGAAAGTCTAGTCCTTAGTTTTCACCTCCCAAGATGCCAATTTCTTAGAGATAGACATCATTTTCAAATGGTCATGCATACTCAATTCATTAAAAATTGAAATCAATTCAAAGTGAAGAGAAAGTATTCATTCCTCAGGCTATACCACAGTCCCTGATTTGCTTGATCTATTAAGTCAAATGTTCCAAATAATATAATCATATGAACAATAGGCAAGTCATCTATGGTCCAAAAATCTTGAGATGTTGAAGCAAATCAAGATTCCAATCCTTAAAGAAAATGAAGATCTCAAGCAGACATTAGAAACTTTAAAATAAAATGATATTCAAAATAGTGTATATGGTCAATTAAAAGAGTATGACTAAGAAGTTTAAAAGCCAAAACCTAAGCTAATTGATTTAAAACACATTAATAGAGATTCAAATTTTTAAGAAGAATTCCTATCTAAAGTAAATGAATTTAGTCTATCCTGGCGACAAGAAGTACAATAGCTTAAATAATTATGAAAATATTAGATATCTAATTATATTAACAATATCTAGATTTTAATTATATTGTAAATTGCTTGAAATTTATAAACTAAGTATCTGTTCTCTTTAATATTAGAATATTTGATTTAAATTTAGTTATGCTCATAACTAAATTTAATTAGGAAAACAAAAATAAAAATAGCAGTAGATAATGATTATTTGTATGGTCTTTTTATAATTAACTCACATAAATGGTAGCCTCTTAATAAAATCCTTAAAATCAATATGATATTCAGGAAATTGAGGTATTTAGATGAACATTCCATTCTCAACATAAGGATTTCCTATCATTGTACAGAATTTATTTCCTTATCTCTATTTATGACGAGGATCAGATTTGCATCTCACATAAACCTTTTTACCTCTTCTTTAGAAATAACAATGTTCACACATCTTTTTCAAAGCACTCTTGACTTTCATTATTTAATTATATTAATGATAATTTTATTTTAATTGATTCCAATATTCTTTTGTTTTCATTACAAAGGTATTCTAAATAGGGATCTCAATCATATCAAAAATGAATTAATAAATGGTTCATTACCTGAAGGCAGATTATCAATTAAAGATGTATAAAATTTATTCAATGACCTTGAAAACATTACTAATATTGTTCACTCTTAATAAATAGGAGAATCTTATCTTAATAAAACAATATATTCTTATTCATTATGCTCTAATTTTACTAAAGATAAACCAATGATGCTTATAACTAGTTTACATCATTCTAGAGAAGTAGCTAGTTTGTAAATGAATATATATTTATTTCTCTATATTTTATGGGAAGTGCAACATTAAAACAATCCATATTATATTAATATGATTACTCATAACTGCATTATGTATATATTTTGTATTAAATATAGGATTGTCCCATTTGTTAATATTGATGGATATGCTGAAATTGAATCTGAATTTAATAATCATAATTTTTAGCCAAAAACAAGAAAAAATCTAAATCGAACTATTGCTTGTAATCAATAAGATGAATTAGCAGGAATTGATTTAAATAGAAACTATGGATATCATTTTGGTTATGATAATATAGGTAGTTCTAATGATCCTTGTGATGAAACCTATAGAGGAAGTGCTGCATTTTCTGAAAAAGAAACTTAAGCTATCAAATATGTTGTAGAAAACTATAATATTAAAATGGCTATGAATTTACATTGTTTTGGAAATTTATGGGTTTTACCTTACAGTTATGATAATGAAGATCTTGATAAAGATGGAGTTCCATATCTTATTTATGAAGATTTTAAGTAAAATGGTTAATTTTAAGGTCATTATAAAATTGGCCATGCTATAGAATTAGTCTAATATACTGCAAATGGAGAAGCAGCTGATTGGATGCTTTCCAAAGGTATATATTATTAATTATTTAGGCGTTATTGCTATCAGTCCAGAATTAGGAGAATAAACTTATTCTAATTTTTTTTCAAACTTTTTTCCAGATCAAGAAAAAACACTTAAATTATTTAATACTGAATTTCCACCTTTAATTCATTTTATTAATTATTTACCTTTTCAACCAATGATCAAAAACTTATATTAATACAATTTAGATGATGTTTAAAAATTAAATATAATATTATCTACTAATTAATACCTTGTTGATATTGAATGCATAAATAATGGTGTATCAAATGGATCTGATCATTATTTTATTGTTTCTGATGCTGTCTAACTTATTTAAGCATATTACATTGATATTAAATATGATCAAAAATATAATAGAGATAATATTGAGTTTAGTAAATTAAATAAAATAGATTATAAAAACAACACTTTCTCAACTTTTTAGTTTTCACCAAGAAGTTAAATAATTTATTTTTTAGTTTTTTAGGAAATTCAAATTGGAGGTGAAATAAAATTTTATTTTGATCTTAATGGAGAAAATCATGAAAATAGTAATTAAAATATAATAAATTTTAGCATTTACATTAAAAGATATTAATTAAGAGTAGAAATAATTAAAAAATGAATAATATCAGAAACTTTATAATTTATTGTTTTTAGGTCTTTTAATAATATTTATAATCACAATAGGAATTCTACTCTAGATAACCTTTAAGAAATAAAATAATAAAATACAATAAAATATCACAGAATTAATTGAATAAAAACCTGAACAAATTGAATTAAATGTATAAATATGATAAAGTGATAAATAACTCAGTAATTTCCTTCTAAAATATATTCATATAATCTATTGATTTTTTATTAGTTTTTATTCTCCTACTTTCCTTATGTGTGTGCACGATTTCCCTTTTATGATTTAAAACTTTATTTTATTTTATTTTTCTCACTACTTAAAGATCTCACTTTCTTATTTTATAACTCTACCTATTTAATAAATTTTAAGTACTTTCTTCTGCATTTATCAATGAAAAATAACAATGTTTAATAGGTATTTAAGAGAAATTGAGATTACTTTGAATTTCTGTTGACTAATTTTATTTATTACTTTCGTTTTTTTCAAGATGACAAACTTACTATCTACTGACATTAACTCTATAAGGATCCTAAGAAGTATTTTATTGATTATGAATTTAATTTTATGCATTTTTTTGATCTTGCTATTAATCTCTTTATTGCTTTTAGGTTTTCTTAATCAAAGATGAAATAGGCATCAAAATTGATGGATCTGAGGATCGCTTTTGAATTAAGATATTATGACCCAAAATTTATTTTGATTATTTTTATGAATTGTTATTATTATGATTTAAAATCTTTTGTACTACTTTTGTTCCTTTATTTTCTGTATCTCTTAAATTATATAATCTATTTTTATATTTATTTTATTATACCTATCATATACTGATTCATATCTAATTCTCTAACTGTTTGATCCTGATCTTTCTTATTATTTCTATTATGAACATAGAATATTTTCTTTATCTTTATTCTTTATTTCAGTATCCCTCTTGATATTTAATTTAATATCAAAATTCTCAATTTTTGGAATCATAACCTTCAATTAAGTTAAGATTACCTTTTAAGATTAATAGGTTGATAAATTTGATTATTTTACTTCATTAGTTTTGAATTGATGATATTTTTTCATTAAGTCTTATCTTGATTATTTTATATCATCCCATTTATTAGAATCGTTTACATGTTGTATAGATTCAAAATTTCCTAATGAACTGAAACATTGTTAGGAACTTTATTTCTTGTCATAGAAAAAATTTTTACACTTAAAACATAAAAGTCTTTTGCCATTTATTCGTTGAAATTAGAAAACAATAATAATATAATTAACAACTATATATTTATTAATTTTTATTATAGGCTAAAAAATTCTAAATTAAATTAAGGATCCTTATCTAATCAAGTTCCCTTTTAGAATCTTCTATGTTAAAGAATCTTATATAAATATACTTATTAATTATTTTTCTGTTAAATTTTTATTTTAATTTGTAATAAATTTTTTTAAAAGTTTCAATATTTGATTATTATAAAGGAACAGAATCATACATGAAATTGTAATTTAAAATTATTATAAATTTGGATTTAAATCAAATAGAATAAAAATAATATGAGAGACATAAATTAACACTTTGAATTATTAAAAATTCTAAGAGTTTTACAAATATTTTATTATTAACAACAAAAATGGATTTAAGTATTAAATTTATTAAAATTTTATATGTTTTATGAAAACAGATAGAAATTTTAAGTGTATAATGCAACTTTGATTATAATAATATAGATTAAAATGATAGCAAAATGTATTTATCATCATAATTATTTTACTTAATTGTAACTAGTACTTCTTATTTATTGACAATTTTAATGCAAATTTTTATAATCAAGCATAGTTGAAAATAGACTGGCTGTAAAAAGGGCTGATTAATTCATTTTTTTATAGATCTGCTCTACTTCTTTTTTAGATTTATTCATTAAAACTGATCTTGCACTAGAAGATGTCTTTAACTAATTTTTAGATTTATAATTATACAGGCATTTATGATTCTAAACCATTATTTACATTATTAAATCTTTTATCACTTAAATAAGTATTTAATTATCGAGAAGTATCATTACTGTCATCTTAAACTAAGATTGGATCATGCTTAGCTATCTCAGTTTCAGGAGTTCCAAATAAATTTTATTTTTTCTAACATTTTTATATTTTCATTTAAGCTCTCTATAGAGCAATATTTTATTGAGTCAGTTTATCAATCAATTAATCTTTTTCTTATAACTATTTTTAATATTTTTTTATCTCTGATTATATATGTATGATCTTTTTTTAACAAATACAATTTTTCTCGAAATTTGGAAGTGAACTGCCTGAAATCCCTTATGCTGTTTAAGTTTATTCTGCTTCATTAAGTAAATAATCAAAAGAAAGCCTAGAACTTCCTTTCCTATCACAACTTAATGGATTGGTCATCAAAGATTCAATTTAATCTTTGAGCTATTTGTTATCAATTTATAATTTAACTATAGTGTCTTTGAGCTAATTTATAAAGAATAAATACTTTAACAGCTGCCAATTTCAATTAAGTATTTTCATTTTGAAATAACGTATTTATTTCTTATAATTATTTCATGTCAAATAAGTTAAATTCGTTTTTTTCAACTAGATTCTGTATCTCTTTTTGAAGATATTTTTTTTCTTCATCAATTTTAGCAAAAGCATTATTTAGTTCTTCAAATTTTTGTTGCTATTAAAAAAATGCAGTAGCCAACTATTAATAACTAAGGTCTTTTATTTTGATTTGTCTTTGTAATTCTATTATTTATTGTTTTTAAGTTTCTGTCTAATCAAAAATTTAAGAATGAAACATAGGATCTTTAGAATCTAACTTTGTTGTGACTTTCTTATATTAATAGTCATCATAAACACTAACTAAATTTTAAATTATAATTTACAATTCTAAACAGATCTATTAGGGCAAGAATTTTATGGAACAGATTACTTTTCAATATTAAAATTAGGTGTGCTGTTTTTTGGATGCATTATTTAGTAATAATTATTTTAATAAATTGTTAACAAAGTGTTATATAAATATATATATATATATATTTATGATAGAATTTACATATGCATAATGGATACTATTTCTTTTGTAATTCTTTGTAAAATTATATTAGTTGTTCTTTTTTTCTATTAGAAAGATAAATTAATTTAATTCTGTATAAGAAATTGATGAATATAAATATATATTATCTTAATTAAAAATAAAAGACTAGCAATATATAATTAATTATTTTGATATTTATATTAGATGAGTGGAGAATAATAAAATAGAAAGTCTAAAATAGCACCATTAACACTATAATTTTTTTAAGCCCTTACAAAATTAGAAGAAGGATTTCATATCAAAGTACTGGATAAATCTAAAATCAATACTTTGATATAAAAATATGGTATATTTGACTTTAATTATGTAGCTCAATTGGTTGAGTATTATGATTTCTATAAAGACCCCATAAAAAACTATTTTCTTGATAAAATCTAATTTGTTCTTTCAAGACCAGATACAATTAAATCAATGTTTCAATAAGACACTATATAAGAGGAGGATGAACAATAGAGCTACAATCACCTCTAAGTCCCAAAATAAATGACTGTTTCTAGAGCACCTTCAATTGCTGAGTAGATAGATCGTAAGAACGTACTTAAAGGACTAGAGTTTAATGAAAATCATTAGAAATCAAGAGGATAATAAATGAACTTGACTTTATAAATTTAGATGCTTAAAAAAGAGCAAGAACCTTCTTTGAATAAATTAATGTCTGTAATCATAATTATTAAATTAGGATTATAAATCAGAGACAGAAAAAATGGATCAATATATATAATCAGAAATGAAAATACAAACTGATGCTGTCTAACAAAAATTAGAATAAAGGAAGAAGAAATTAGTGAATTAATAAAATAGAATGTTTCGAACAGAGGCTTCTGATGATGAATCAACTCCTCAACTTTAGCCATTTGATTGAAATATATATAATTAACAAATTATATACAATTAAAATTATTTTTTATTATTTCAGATTATTCAATCTTTAAAAAAGTATATAGAATTATTATGAAAATATTTTAATTACAAACTACTTTATTTATAAATTTTAAATTTATTTTGGATTCATTTGATAGTTTGATTAATATTAAGATTTAGAATTGTTATTTTTAATATATAGATATAATACATTTTAATTTAATCTTAAAAAAATTGATAATCATTTAAGTTTTCTATTCAGAAAGGAATTATAAACATATAATAAGGTAGAAATAAAAGTGTATATTAAGAATCAATAATAATAAAAATTCTTTATGAAAATATGTAAAATTAAATTAATCATTTTATTTTGTTTATCTCAAAAAAATTATCTTCAGAACAATTCTCCTGTTATAGCTAATCTAATAAAGGTTCTTATTTCCTCATTAAAAGCGATAATAAATTTGAGTCTTCATCATTCAAAACAAGAAGATTCATTCCTAATCGATTAGAAAGATTAGAATTTGGCCCTGAATCAAGAAAAATGTCATTAGTTGATGCTAATGACAGTTTTATCCCTACTGAATGAGATTTTTTTAGTTCTTACCTATTATTATATGATCTAATTATGAAATAAATTCTTGATATTTCATATAACATATTTAAATAACTTAATTTAACTTCCATTTAATTCTTTACTTTTTTATAAAATTATTTGTACTCATTTACATCTAAATTCTTTTAATTCAAAGTAATCTTTGTTATTTTTTATTTCCAATTTTTAGTAATCATAATACTCTTAAATTCTGGATAATAAAAGGATATCACTTCGTTTAGTACTTTTTATTTAAGATAATATTCATTAAGTACTATAATTACATGTTTTATCATAAATAGAACTGATACAATAGAACCAATATTAGCCAATAGATCACCAGCATGTGGATATTAAAAAATAGTTTTAGTTTGATTTCCTTTCATCATTATATATATTAATCCTAAAACATCATTTTCATATGTTTATTTACAATACTCGAATGAGTTAGTTTAAGTTTGTATTGAAGATCCTATAATATATTCAAAATATTTAGGCATCCCAAATAAAAAGGAGTCTTGAACTTCATATAAATTACTTGATAGAAATGTATTTAAAGTATAACAGTTTTTCATTTCAATCTAGACATAAAACTCTTATAAACTTGTCTATTCCGATCCATCTCTGGAATCTAAAGATTTATAGTGTACTTGCATTACAACAGTATTTAAAGGTTGCTTAAAAAACTCATCTATTAATTCTTAAGAAGCACATTTTTCATTTGGCTATAGATATATCTCTTAACATAAAACTATTTCTATATACATTTCTGATGTTGTATATAGTTCTCCATTTATTGTCTAAAATGCCAAACTCATTTTTGGAATGATATATTTACTTGATCCATCAACAGAAGTTTCATTTGACATTTATATAAGTTAAAGCTCAGTAAAACTAAAATTAGTTGTATACATAACTAATGGCAATAATATTTTAGATTCAAAAGGGTCTATCTAGTTTTCTCCAAATTTCCAATAATACAATTTTATAACATCATATTCCAAATCCAACAAAGAAAAATCAGACACATAAATTGAATTAGAAATCTTAGGGCTTAATTAATTGTTTTGCCATAAGTAAAGCACCCAAATAGCATATGCTAGACTTGCAGAACAAATAAGTAAAGTAACTAATCCTCCAAAAGCACTTTTATAAATTGATTGTTTTGGATCAATTTGTTGAATGAAGGGTACTCCAAAAAAATCAGCTGTTCGTAGTACTTACATTGAGTATCTAATAATTTAATTTGATTATAGAAAAATACAATGAATTTTTGACAATAAAATTATATTTATATATTGACACATTATTTAATTTAAAACATTCTAGAAAATCAATTGAATCTAAATAATTCTCTAAGATCTATGTATTAGAAAATAATTTTACTATAAATAAATTTGTTATCTAAATTTCTTTGAATTTAGTAAATTGATAAATTATCACATCAAATATCAATTCTTTTAAAAAAAATAAATAATTTGAATTCAATTTTGTTATTAGTACATAGTATTTTAATGTATCTAAATTAAGTAGTGGAATAATTAATAAGTTATAATTAAGGTATGAATTTTAAAGAAAAAGAATTTGAATTAATCAATTAAATAATATTTTTATATCAAAAAGAAAACTAATAATTTCTCAAAAATATTTGTATAAAACAATTTAAATCAAAGATTTGGTAAATTTTTTACAGAAATAAAAGGTATTTTGAAAAATAGATCATAATAAACATTTTATTAAAAAAATATACTATTATATTTATTATAATTAAATAAAAATTCCAATATAAAATTTTAAGAATATATATATATCTCAATTCATGATATTTTATTATTTTCATAGAAATCCTTTTCAATACAAATTTCATCTGGAACTGAGAGTTGAACTTCTTTAGCCTTATTAGAAAGAGATAATAAATCAGCATCTTCATCATTGAGTTGTGAAAAAAATTNCATTTGGCTATAGATATATCTCTTAACATAAAACTATTTCTATATACATTTCTGATGTTGTATATAGTTCTCCATTTATTGTCTAAAATGCCAAACTCATTTTTGGAATGATATATTTACTTGATCCATCAACAGAAGTTTCATTTGACATTTATATAAGTTAAAGCTCAGTAAAACTAAAATTAGTTGTATACATAACTAATGGCAATAATATTTTAGATTCAAAAGGGTCTATCTAGTTTTCTCCAAATTTCCAATAATACAATTTTATAACATCATATTCCAAATCCAACAAAGAAAAATCAGACACATAAATTGAATTAGAAATCTTAGGGCTTAATTAATTGTTTTGCCATAAGTAAAGCACCCAAATAGCATATGCTAGACTTGCAGAACAAATAAGTAAAGTAACTAATCCTCCAAAAGCACTTTTATAAATTGATTGTTTTGGATCAATTTGTTGAATGAAGGGTACTCCAAAAAAATCAGCTGTTCGTAGTACTTACATTGAGTATCTAATAATTTAATTTGATTATAGAAAAATACAATGAATTTTTGACAATAAAATTATATTTATATATTGACACATTATTTAATTTAAAACATTCTAGAAAATCAATTGAATCTAAATAATTCTCTAAGATCTATGTATTAGAAAATAATTTTACTATAAATAAATTTGTTATCTAAATTTCTTTGAATTTAGTAAATTGATAAATTATCACATCAAATATCAATTCTTTTAAAAAAAATAAATAATTTGAATTCAATTTTGTTATTAGTACATAGTATTTTAATGTATCTAAATTAAGTAGTGGAATAATTAATAAGTTATAATTAAGGTATGAATTTTAAAGAAAAAGAATTTGAATTAATCAATTAAATAATATTTTTATATCAAAAAGAAAACTAATAATTTCTCAAAAATATTTGTATAAAACAATTTAAATCAAAGATTTGGTAAATTTTTTACAGAAATAAAAGGTATTTTGAAAAATAGATCATAATAAACATTTTATTAAAAAAATATACTATTATATTTATTATAATTAAATAAAAATTCCAATATAAAATTTTAAGAATATATATATATCTCAATTCATGATATTTTATTATTTTCATAGAAATCCTTTTCAATACAAATTTCATCTGGAACTGAGAGTTGAACTTCTTTAGCCTTATTAGAAAGAGATAATAAATCAGCATCTTCATCATTGAGTTGTGAAAAAAATTATGATGATCTATTTGTCCAATTAGAGTTTAGATTCGAATCAGCCATCATTTTAGATTAAGACAAATTAATTTTAATTCCTACTTAATGAGACTTTTTTAACTCATCTCTAAATTTAAATGATCTTATAATAAAGTAAATTCTGGACATTTCATATAATAAATTCAAATAACTTAATTTATTTTACATTTAATCTTATACTTTCTTATGAAATTATTAAAATTCCTTTACATCTACTTCATATTTATTTAAAACTACTTTGACTGTTTTTTATCTCCAATTTTTTTAAATTGTGACTTTTTTAAATTCAGGATAATAAAATTAGATTAGTTAATTTAGTATTTTTTGATTTAGATAGTATTCGTTAATAATGATAATTATGTGTTTAATCATGAAGAGTACAGATACAATAGAACCAATATTAGCTAAAAGATCTCCAGCATGTGGATATTCAAAAATAGTTTTGATTTAGTTTCCTTTCATTACAATGTAAATTAAACCTAGTATATCATTTTCATAAGCTAATTTACAATATTAAACCGAATTTGTTTAAGGTTATATTAATGCACCATTAATAAATTCAAGATATCTTGGATATCCAAATAAAAAAGAATCTTAGAGTTCATATAAGTTACTTTAAAGAAAGGTATTTAAAGTATAACAATTTTATTATTCAATTTATATGAAAAACTCTTGTACACTATTTTAGACACTTCCATCTAAAGAATTCAATGATTTCTAATGTACTTATAAAACTATTGTATTTAAAGGTTAAGAAAAAAACTCTTCTATTAATTCATCTGATGCACATTTTTCATCTTCTTTTAAATAAATTTAAGAGCATTTCGCTATTTATATGTACATCTCAGATGAGGTATAAATTACACCACTAATATTTTAAAAGGCTAAGCTCATCTTTGGTAAGTAATATAATGTTCCATCATCAGAAGTTTCATTTGACATTTATATAAGTTAAAGCTCAGTAAAACTAAAATTAGTTGTATACATAACTAATGGCAATAATATTTTAGATTCAAAAGGGTCTATCTAATTTTCTCCAAATTTCCAATAATACAATTTTATAACATCATAATTCAGATCCAACAATGAAAAATCAGACACATACATTGAATTAGAAATTTTTGGGCTTAATTAATTGTTTTGCCATTTGTAAAGTACCCAAATAGCGTATGCTAGACTTGCAGAACATATAAGTAAAGTAACTAATCCTCCAAAAGCACTTTTATAAATTGATTGTTTTGGATCAATTTGTTAGACAAAAGGAGCTCCAAAAAAATCAGCTGTTCGTAAAATTTTCATCATTATAAGAATAAAAAAACAATTAAATATGATTTAACTTTATTTAGATTAAATATTATCATCTAATTATAAATCGAAAAAGGAAATTAATTGTCTGCGTTGTTCTAACGTTCGAATTTGCTCATATGATTAATGATATTAGTTTGATAATTCCTCAGGCTTTCGGATTTTCAAGATCAATTTTTCTTGTTTTTGATATCCAATAGAAAATCTCAATTAATTCAAATTAATTAATAGTATAAAATGATTTATAATTTATTCTTAAATATTATTTGTAAAGTATTCAAAAATTAAGTATCATAATTAGAGGCTAAAATTATTAAGTTCCTTAATTGTCATTATGTAATTTAGTAACTGTTTAACTAATTTAATTTCTGTTATATTTTACAGCTTTATTATTATATCAACTTATTCTATAACCACCATTATTATTATACTATCTTAATTTAGTTGATAAGTGAGATACTTAATTCTTATATATATATAATATTATTGTTATTTCAACCTTAGTAAATTATATTATTATTAAAAATATATTTATACATATGCAAGAAAACAGAAAATAAATGCTTAAATCTCAGGATTCTGATAGAAGTATAAAAAATGCATCTGATAACATTACAAAAATAGCAAACAAAAAAATTCAACAATTAGCCTTTTTAACATAATTTCCTTAATAAAGAAAATATACAGTTGTTGAGAAAGTGAATAAACTGATTGACAAAACATAGAGTAAATTAAAGCATCAATAAATACCTAAGGATGTTTAATTTTATCAAAGAAATATAAAAAAGTTTGAAAATTTATCATCATTTATTAATTCAAAGGGATTACTATCAGCTAATTTTAGTATGCCTAAATTAAGAGTAAAATAGAAAGTAGATGATTAGGAATAAGAATATGTTGATTATTTACTTGCAAAAAATTGTAAAATATGATTTTATTGTAGATAAACTATAATAAGAAAGACAAAGAAGAAAAAGTAAATAAGTGAAAGAGAACTATGAAGAATGTTGGGAATTAGAAAATTCTGATTATGATTTTGAATCTCCAATTAATGTAGGTAGGGAACTAAAATTAGCACATTAGGATTAAATAAAAGGAGAAATGGAAGCAAAAGCGAAACTATGGGAATTATAATAAATTCGTAAGTATTAAAGAAAAGCAACTAAAATTGACTTAAAGGGTTCTTAAAGATCATCTTAATACAACAATTAGGAAGAAGATGAAATAATAATAGATTAAGGTTAATTAAATGCATAGCATTATAAAGAGTAATCAGATAAGGTTATTAAGATGATTTGGAATGCAGCAAAAAAAATATATAATAAAAAGGAGGATCAGATAAAAAAAGAGATAATAATGCATCAAATAGCTAAAAATTATAGATAAAAATAGAGAGAGAATGCAAAGGAAGAAATTAATAAAATTTTACTTAGTATAATTATATATATTATATTTGAGCTGGTCAAAAATAACATTTGATATTTGCTACAACAGTAAGACATTTACCAGAGAATGGTGATTCAAAATAAAATACAGAACATTTTTTTAGAAAAAAAGGACAAACTTCTCGTAAAACATAAGCACCATATTCATTATCTCCACCAAGTTAAAATGAAGAGATGAAATCCAATAGAAAAATATCATAAATTAATTCAAGATTGCATGATATTGTTCATCAAATTGATAATATACCTGTTGGAGATCAAGCTCATACCATAAAGAAAATGTAAAGTGAATAAATACTTTATCAAACATTGAGAGAAACACTTTAACCTGATTAAATAAAAGACACTTTAAAAGGATTGTTTCTTCCAACAGATCATTTACATAAAAGACCCTTACAATTCAACAAGAAACACTTCTAAAATTAAATCTTATGATTCTTTTATTTATATCTATATATATATTGTAAATTCAGATATAATTTATTGATTTTTTAGTATTAAATTAATTGATTGATTAAAAATGTCATCAGAAGAATTGCCTTAAGATAAGAAAACTTTATTTTCATCACTTGTTTAGAAGAAACATGCAGAAACAGATGCATAAAAAATATAGAATCGCATTTTATAATTGAAAATGGAACATGAAAAAGTGATGAAACGCATTTAACAAGATGAAGAAAGAGCTGATGAAATTTACAGACATAGAGTTGAAATATAATTAAAGGTTCTCTATTCTTTTTTTTAATGTATAGAAAGAAAATAAGTTAAAACAAAAATAAGCATAACCTCCTCCATTTTCATTGGCTATATCTCATCATCAAAGACAAATTCTTAAAAAGATTAAGGATGATGATTTAATAAAAAAGAAATCAGATGCAAAACTCTTTAGAGAACAATTAAAAAAAGATTTTTAAAGTGTTTAAATGTAAAAAAGTTTGGATTAGGAAGTATATCGAATAAAAGCAATATAAGTAAAAGAAGAAGAAAGACAATCTACTGAGGTTGCTGTTTTAAAAATGAAATAGAAAAGGGAAAAAGTGAGATATCAAATAGAAAATGAAAAGGATTAGATAATTAAAGAAAAGAAGTTTTATGATTTTAAGATATCAGAATTAGAACAATAAGAACAATTAGCAATGATGGAATTATAAAATTCATTGGCTAATCAATAATTTGTTTAAAAGAAAATAGAACAAGCATAGAAATTATCACCTAGTGATTATGAGAAACAATATCAAAATAATAATAAAAACGCTGAGACCACATAATGATAATTATTAATATTTTTATATGCTAAACGAAAGTTTGGAATCTGATCAAGAAATAGACCCAGAAAGGGAAAGATAAAAGCTTATGCTAAAAAGACAAAAATCAATAGAAGAAAGTCTCTAATTAAATGTCAAAGATCACATTGTAAAATTAGAAGTATTTATTATAATATGTGAAGAATTATTTAGCTGAGCTTAAAAAAGATTTAGAAATTAGCAAAAAGGAAATGTCTAACTT